AAAAAATAATAATAATAAGCCCTACTAAACCTTCCAGAATAAGAAGGTATTAAACTAGACATTATTTCAGACGGGGGGCCAACAGTCATATCCCCATACTTCTCCAAAGCCAAACTTTTTTCTTTACAAAACTCTTTTACRAAAAGAGAATAAACTTCATCAGAAATCCTAAAATAACTATTTAAATCAAAAATATAATGGTACTCTCAGTACCACTGATCACCAATCATACTAACTTCATAATTAACATTATCCCCTACCTCTATTTCATAAAGATTAAAAAAAGAAATATACCCAATCCCGCATAAAAATACAAAAGGTGCAACTATTCAAAAAATATCCATCTTTTCATTTTCAGTTACAGTATGATTTAAACTTCCTTTTAAACCTAAACTATTAAATAAAAATAGTGTTAAAAATCAACCTACACCAAGAAATACAAGAACTACAATTACTAATACAGTATCATGGTAAGTATGTAAAAGACAACCCATAGCCCTTCTAGGATATGGAAAGTCAACTTGATACCATTGTCTAATTTTAAGCAACAAAATATAATTGATCTACACAACAAATATACTTAAAAATAATACTAGTGTTAAGGAATAGCTCCCATATTTTACCTCATCAAGATAACCCAATTTATCTGGCATAACACCATCACCTAGTATATAACAAGTACGTCTCGCTCGACGTACTTGTCCTCGTTGCACTTCGTAATACCTTTTTAACTAACTTTTTCCTCGGGATTGAGCCATAATATGTCTCAATCTAAGAAATGCAACGACACTCATTGTTATATCTTAATCTTTCAGAAGATATAAATATATCTTCTGATCAATATATATATATTTATGGTTGACAGAAAGGAGTTTCTGGAGACCCCCCCCCTTTCCCCCCCCCATAGCAACGTCCCTATTGCATTTCCCTAAGTATTAATTTTAACTAAAAAATAAATAACTTAAGTACTCCACCGGCGTTTTTCGAAACAGTGCGGTCAGCTCGCACATCCAACATGCCCCATTACAGTGACGCTATATCCATAGCCTGGTTTTACAAGCCAAACTAATAACGTATCAATTTTTTTACCTTAGAAATTTACGTTAATTAATTAACGTAAATTTTTACCGTAACAATCCATGCTAACTAGTAAATTAGCACGAATAACAAATTGATACCTATTAATTTGCAATACCGCAACAACCTATATTAATTCGCTACATTAATATAGATTATCCGTTGCCCTCCCACCAACATGGTTGTTATTCACAAAGCTAGCCCACCCCGGGTTTGCTTTCTAACTTTGCACTTATGGCCCTTTATTATTTAGTTTCTGTAAAAACTAATTTTATTCCCTCCATACCATTCACTCTATTTTAATTCCCGCAATGCGGGACCCCAAGTATTGAGACCATGTATTCTTTTGTAGAGGCTCTACAGATATCGACTCTTCAGACATCACCACAGACTAATCTTCACCGAAGCTGTGAAATGTGTCTTAAAACGCTAAACATAGTCATTAATGTTCCTTTGAGTATTTGCAACTATGTTTCTATCTGATTTAGCGTCTWATATACAAAGATGCAAGCTAAATYAGCGGTTCAGTTAGGTAGCTAACCCATATCTCTGGAACTGCCCTTCAGTTCCTTYGGATAGGTAAAAACAATGAGATTACGTCCACTTCATACTCCTAACATTTTATATGTTTTTAAAGTTGACAACCTCCTYTTAGAGGACCTCGCAAACTCTAATCCTAGCTCCTGACAATTGTATATTCAAAAAGCTAGGATTAGAGTTTGATTCTCGGCAATATAATATTTTAATTTTTTACTGTATTAAAATATTAACTTAATAAATATACCTGATTATTTTACGTGTTTGCTCTTTTCTCTCTTAACACATGAGACTTTATAACTCTATATTATATGTAATTCTTYCCACTTAGTGGAAACTCATTTCTTAACAACGTCTCATTATTTAAAAGGGATATCAATAATAYAATACACACTTTTACTATTCCCATAACCTTTATATCAAATTACTTAAAATACTATTTATAATAAAGATATTTTTAGAACGTACCTGATTTTTTAAAACCTAGTGATTCTTTTACTTAAAAATTTAAAAATCTAAACGACTTAACTTTCCTCTTTCCAACAAACCGCCTAGAGTTAACTAACAAAGACAACCCTATAACTGCTCTTCTTACATCTATACATAAAATTAAAATAGAAAGATAACCTACCATAACCCTATCCCCTACCAACCCTGAAATTACACAAAACCCAAAAACCCTAACCATTAACATATTAAATAAAATTAATATATTTATGAAGTGCTTTTCTTCTATAAAAACCATAAAAATAGAAAACCAAAAAAAAAACAAACACTCAATAGAACTGACTAAATTAGATGAAACTAAAACAATAAATAACTTTTTATAATGATAGTAAGATATAAACTTAAACTAAATCTTTTGTTATTTTCATAGAAATTATTTCTATAAAAATATGTAATATTCTAAAATTTAAACCAAATAGAGAAAACTTTAGATATTTTTAAATCATCACCCTTTTTCACAATAAAACAAAAACTAACAAGATGACTTTTATAATCTTCTGAAAGATCTACTTTTAAAACTTTTAAATACATAAAAATTTTAATAGAAGAATGAGGGACGTGCCTATGAGAACTTTTTATGGTATATAAATGTCGACAACTTATTCTGTAACTTAAATACTTTACTAATTGAAAGATAACAAAGATTCATAAGACTTTTATTAAAAATACCAAAAAAACCCTAGTCCTAAAACTATACCCATCAAATAACCAAGAATACTCTTTTCCTAAATAACTACTAATAAGACCTAAATCTAAATATACTAAAGTAATAAAAAACCTGATTAAAAAAGTAAGAAACATTAACATTTTGATGCTGCCCTGGTTAGGGAAAACTTATTCACTATATAAGCGCTACTTGTTAAGCTGACAACTCCACCGTTTAAATAAAACTTAAGCACTACTTATTCGGCTAAAAACCCACGTATAGAAATAGACCCCCCTCCCATTTCCATCTCACCAAAAATTTCTAATACCTACCTTTACCGAATCTTTCTACAAATATACCATTATTATTCACCAAATTAAATAGAAAAACTTAAAATTGCTATTATTTTTTTTCTCTATTTACTATATCTTTTTAAGAGAATTTTATTATTATCCACCAATTTAAACAGAAAAACTTTAATATTACTATTATTTTTTAATAGAAAAGTTTATACGTAATTCTAACATAAGTAAAATCTCACCGAATCTTTTTACAGATATACCCCTATTATTCACCAAATTAAATAGAAACACTTAAAATTACTATTATTTTTTTTCCTATTTATTAAATTTTTTTAAGAAAATTCTGTTATTACTCACCAATTTAAACAGAAAAAATAATAGCAATTTTAAGTTTTTTCATAAAAAGTTTATACGTAATTCTAACATAAACAAAATATCACCAAAAATTTCTAATACCTACCCCTTACCGAATCTTTTTACAAATATACCCCTACTATTCACCAAATTAAATAGAAACACTTAAAATTGCTATTATTTTTTTCCTATTTATTGAATTTTTTTTTAAGAAAATTCTGTTATTACTCACCAATTTAAACAGAAAAAATAATAGCAATTTTAAGTTTTTTCATAAAAAGTTTATACGTAATTCTAACATAAGCAAAATATCACCAAAAATTTCTAATACCTACCCCTTACCGAATCTTTTTACAAATATACCCCTACTATTCACCAAATTAAATAGAAACACTTAAAATTGCTATTATTTTTTTCCTATTTATTGAATTTTTTTTTAAGAAAATTCTGTTATTACTCACCAATTTAAACAGAAAAAATAATAGCAATTTTAAGTTTTTTCATAAAAAGTTTATACGTAATTCTAACATAAGCAAAATATCACCAAAAATTTCTAATACCTACCCCTTACCGAATCTTTTTACAACTTATACTATAGTAATCACCACTTAGAAGTGTAAACATTAAAACACTTTATTAATTGAAACTATAAACTAGAAAAACTAAACAATAAGGGCCCAATTGCTAAATTAATTATAATCCTAACCAAACCCACATAAAAATATCTATTGGATGATTTCTTTATTTTGAAAATGGATTTTCCCCAGTAGACTGTTATTGCTAAGACTACACTTAAATAAAAAACCAATCTAACACATGAAGTTAATATACATAAAGAACCTCCAACTCTCATATTTCCCCAACAAGAGATTAAAAATAATGTTTTTAAAGCACATCCTCTAAAAGGGGGTAACCCAGCAATTGATAATATATAAACAGAAACTCATCAACTAGAGCTTAAATTCTCTAAAGAACTAGCTTTTCTTAAATCTAAAAAACTAGAAATATTTAGTACTCACAAACTAATTATCAAACCAATATTTAAAACCCTATAACCAATTAAATATATCCACATAGACCACCTCCTACAACACCTTAAAATTATTAAACACCCTAAATGTTGAATTGAAGAAAATCCTAGTAATACTCGATAATTCAAGATCCCCAATCCACCTAAACAACCAAAACAACAAGTCAGAACACATAGTAACTCTAAATACCTAATCTCTCAACCTAAAAATAAGCAGTTCCTAACCACCCATAAAGGAGTAACCTTCTGTAAAACTAGTACAATTTTACATGCAGGCCAAGATAACTTTCTAACAACAGGTGCTACCCAGAAGTAAAATGGAAAAGCACCTAATTTAATTAATATCCCTAATAAAATAAAAACTCTACCTAAAAATATCTCAACCCCATTTACCATTATTAGAAAACCTATTATTCTGAAGCAGGAACCTAAAATCTGAACTATGTAATACTTTATTACACCCTCTGTCTCTTCTACACTAGAACCACTTATAAAACATAATACCGCCAAGAAATTTAACTCAATTCCAACTCAAACCCCTAATAAATTTAAACTCACTAATGAAATTAAAACTCCAAGAACTCTAAACATAAATCTCATTACCCTAGATAAACTAAATATTACACCCGATATTCTAAGTTCTACTATAATATTTTAACCCAACAAATAATCCAAATCAACTCATACCCTACTAAAAACCATAAATACACATAAAGTTAGAGGAAGAAGAACTTTTCAACATAGCTCCATTAATAAATCATAACGAAAACGCGGAACTAACCCACGAACTCAAATTATGAAATATATAAAAAATACTATGTAAAAAGAAAATAATAAATTTCCTAATAATGGTAAATTCATACTAAAACTAAAAAATAACACGCCTCTTAATATTCTCATAAAAGCTATATTTCTATATTCAGCTAAAGCTAACAAAGCAAAATTTACCCCACCAAATTCCACCATATAACCTGCCACCAACTCTGACTCCCCCTCCACGAAATCGAAGGGGGGACGATTAGTTTCTGCTAAAATACAAATAACTCACAAAACTAAAACTTCGAACCCAATGAAAACAGACCTAAACGGGCTGCAACGAGATTCAATTAAATCATAACTCCCTGTCAAAATTAATGGACAAAATAAACAAGTTCTCAAAAAAACCTCATAAGAGACTCTTTGAGCAATAGCACGCATAGCCCCTAAAAAACCATATCGTGAATCACAAGATCAACCTACCATAAAAACACCATATACAGCTGCTGAAGATACACATAAAAAAAAAAGTAACCCTAATGTAATTTTTAAAGAGCTAAATATTATAGGAAACAAAACCCACAAACTATAAGCACAAAAAAAGCAAATTAAAGGTCCTACTGTATATAACCCCTCTCTAGCAAACAAAGGTATAATTATTTCCTTAGTAAAAAGTTTAACTCCATCTGCCAGAAACTGAACTAACCCTTTCAGACCTACTTTATTAGGGCCTTGTCGTAACTGAAGTATTCCTAAACCTTTTCGCTCAGTAACAATAAAAAATGCTACTCTTATTAATATAACTAAAGAAACTAGAAACACACTTATTATTAAAGGGGAACAAATCCCATAATTAAATCCTAAATTTAACACATTTTTCTGACACTTTAACTAATGACCCTTAGCCTTATAAGGTTTTAGTACACCCCACCGTCGGAAATTTTTTCCCTCAAATCTTATACCATAGGGATTCTGAGATTCATTATGGAACTTTCGTGGAAAACCACGTGCACCTCACTCAGACTCTCTACAACGAACTATAGGAAAAATTAAACAACGTTTTCTTAATATTGACTCCCATAAAATAAATAAGAACAAAAACAAGCTTACTAAAGATAGTGTAGAACCTCAACTAGAGARTATATTAAAACCATGTATAGTRTCTGGGTAATCTTGAACACGCCGAGGCATYCCTCTTATTCCTAAAAAATGTTGAGGGAAAAAAGTTCTATTTACACCTAARAACATTCTAAAAAACTGTCTCTTTCTTCAAAGAGGATTTATTCCTACACCTGTTARCAACGGATACCARAAATGAAAACCAGCAAACATAGCAAARACAGCTCCCATTCTTAGAACATAATGAAAATGGGCCACTACATAATAAGTGTCATGCAGAACCACATCCAAAGAGGCACTAGCCAAGATAATACCTGTTAATCCACCTAACGTAAAAAGAAACAAAAAACCCCCAGCTCAATATATTATTGGTCAGTTTTTAATATAACCCCCTGCCAAAGTAGCAATCCACCTAAATACTTTCACCCCTGTAGGAATAGCAATAATAAAAGTTACTGTACTAAAATAAGCCCGACTATCTACATTCATACCAACCGTAAATATATGATGCCCTCAYACAATAAAACCCAAAAAMCCAATTGAAGTAACGGCATGAAGCATTGGTACCTTCCCAAACAACTCCAACTTAGAACTTCCAGCCTTCACAACATGAGAAATAATCCCAAAAGCGGGTAAAATTAGAATATAAACTTCTGGATGACCAAAAAACCAAAATAAATGAATAAATAAAATAGGGTCTCCCAACCCTATTGGATCAAAAAATGTTGTATTAAAATGACGATCACTAAGCAGCATAGTTAAACCCCCTGCCAAAACTGGTATAGCTACAATCAAAAGAAAACCTGTTACTCCTAAACACCAAGCTAACATACTACTACGCAAAATTAACATGACACCTGTTCGCATCAATGATGTAGTAATTACAAAATTAATAGAAGCTAAAATTGAAGAGACACCACCTACGTGAAGAGAAAAAATTACATAATCCACAGCACAACCTGAATGGAACCCAATTGACGACAACGGAGGGTACACTGTTCAACCAGTACCAGCCCCACCATCCACATATGCAGACCCTAATAATAACAATATTGATACAGGAAGTAACCAAAAACTTAAATTATTTATTCGAGGAAATGCTATATCAGGTATTTTTAATATTAATGGAATCAACCAATTACCAAACCCACCGATTATTATTGGTATTACTAAGAAAAAAATCATAACTAATCCATGAGCAGTTACAACTAAATTATAAAGCTGACCATCATCTAGCATTTTCCCCGGCATAGCCAACTCTATACGAATAATAACACTAAAAGCAGTCCCCATCAGACCAGCCCAAATTGAAAAAATGAAATATAATGTACCAATATCTTTATGATTGGTTCTGAATAACCATCGATGAACTCATCTTTTAAARCTTGGTCCACCCGTTCGCAAGTACCTAGTACCCGCATCTACTCTAAAACTACTAATTTTACTATTTAAATTTACTAATTTGTTTTTAACACCACCCCCATAAATTATGTTACTATTACCCTAAATTAATATTATGAGTAATTAAACCTTAATCCTCCTAATTAGGAAAAGTATTTTATTAAAATACATAATAATAAATATTACTTAACACCAGTTTCTACTAGCATTACTATGTTACGACTTATCTCAACTTCTTTATATGAGAGTGCCGGGCGATTTGTACGCATCTCATAACTCTATTCAAAATTCTTTTATAAAAAATTTTTACTAATAAGTACACCTTCAATATAAATAGATATGTATTTAACTATATATATCCGTATTTTATAAAAATTGTAACTCAGCTAAACCCTTTAGACCCTACACGTTTACCTGAATTTTTATAAAAATTACTCTAATAACACTAATATTATATTACACTAAATCTAACTATTATTTATTTTAAGTATAAGTTCTTATCCACCTAAGGCAGATCTCAACGGCGGTATATAAAGAAAACTAAAGGTAAAATTCTCGAGGCTTATCGATTTAATCGCCAAGTTCCCCTAACCGGATTTGAAACACCGCCAACCTCTTCGGTTTTTAAGCATAATAGCTCGTAGTACCCGTACACCAAATAAAAAGCTTTAATAATTGGGTACAAATCCCTGTCTTCAAAAGCAGCCTTAGTAGATTATATTTTTAAAACCATTATTAAGATATCACCACAATAAGATTTATATCTTATATATAGAACATTTTACCGTTTCTATTGTGAATTAATTACGTTTTTTATTTTACTATCACTTTTATACGATTTAAGTTCATTGGCTTGATGATAAATGGTTTAACCGCGATTGCTGGCACCTTTTTTAATCTCTTCTTTCTCCCTCATGCTTATTCTATATTTCTATAATATATCAAAATCCTTTACTGGAGAAGAGTCCTTAAAAAGAGCCCATTTTTTATTTTATAAAAACCAGGTCAAACTACACAAATAATATTTAATACACCTAACTCCTAAACTATAGTTACATTGTAACTAATTAACAGGAGCACTCTTGTTTAAAAAATAGTAGATCCTCTCTAAATTCATTATAATACCATGTACATTCAAAGGAAACACCAACGCAGTAACATGGGCAAATACAAAGAAATTAACCAACCCTATTTCCTAATATAATRRTGTTTTTCTACCTTAAAAAGTCCATAACCAAGTTCCAGTTAGTAGCTTATGAGGCCATAAATATACAAGAAAATATAAAAAAATTCAAATAATATCTACAAAATGCCAATAATATACAGCATTAAGCAAGCCAACACAAGTATGACGGTAACTGAAGTGAAATAACAGGATACGAAACCAACAAACCACTAGAAAAATTAAACCAGCCATTACATGTATACCATGAAACCCAGTTAATATATAGAAACTACACCCAAAAACCCCATCTGAAATTCTATAAGAACATCAATAATACTCCTGGCTTTGAACATACAAAAATAATGTCCCCAAAATAATAGAAACTAATAACAACCCTAAAGCAGCTAATTGATAATAACGACCTATCTTAACATCTAACTCTTTTCTATGACACTTTACCGCTCACTTTCTACTTTGAGAAAAAGCCCCAGAAGTTACCAACAACAATAAATTTAAAAAAGGAATCCGCCATGGGTAAATAGCTTTTACTCCTACAGGGGGCCACTTACCTATTAATTTTACCCTAATTTCACCAATCCCAGCATAAAATCAGGCTCAAAAAAAAGAAAAAAAAAAAAAAACTTCTGATAGTACAAATAACTTAAAACCTCACCGAATATTAAGGATTACAAAAGACGTGTACTGCCCTTTAAATGTTCTTTCAAATACTATATCTATTCACCATCGAACAACCCCATGAAGTAGTGTTAAAAACGAAAGGCCTATTAATAAAGGCACTATATCCCTCATCTCCCTATGAAAAAACATAACTGCCCTACTAGTAAGCCCTAATACTCCAAACGCCACCTCTAAAGGTCAAGGACTCCGTTCTAAAAGCTGATAACCAGTTCGACCAATAGAGAAAAAAACAGAGTTGAACTGCTTATAGCAAAGATTAGAAGTCTAGCCATGCCCCGCTTTTCTCTAAACTAGGGTATAAAACCAATGTTAGATTGCAATACTAATCTTTTAATTAAAGTACTAGTTTTTATTTTCAAAATAAAGTGAAGTCTTTAGACAAGCTATCTTTGAGTTTGCAATTCAATATTTTAATAAACTAAAAGACCAGGGTTAAGGACTAAGCCCACTAAAGTTTACAAGACTTTTATTATAAAATTAACTATTAACCCTTAAGTTTAGCTATACACACTTCCTCTCGATTAACAGTCAAGAATTCTATTTAAACTAAAACCTATACAACAGAAGATCAAGCGAATAATCTCTTTAGAAACCAAAAGTCTACGTGCCCATTACACCGCCCTGTTCTGTCTAATAATCGATATGTCGAACCCACTGTTTGGAAGACAGTAATACTTTTTATACTACTATTAGATTAAGGGGGAAACCCCATCTTCAAAGCTTAAACTTGATGCATATTTCTGCCACTTAATATTTGTTAAAATTATAAAGTAAAACACTTAAGTACTTTACGACCCGAAATCGCACATGCTAAATTACACTATCTACTTAAAGTGTGGTATTAACCTCATTAATACTTGAAATATTATAGTCTTTATAACTTAACACTCTTATGTTTTAGAGTATGTTAACTACCTTAGCTGCTTCAAAACCATATTCTTTATTAAACTACCAAAACACAAGAAAGGATAATCCTCCTTTTTGGTGTAAACAAAACACACTACACTATATGCTATTTCTTGTACTTTTGGCACTACTGCATCAAGAAGTTAAAAGCCTCTCGCTTTATAATAAGCTACAAAAGCAGAGTATATTACTTAATCAAAGCCCCTTTATACTTACCCGCAACACTAACACAAAAAACTATTACCAAGAATATAAAAAGCCCTATAATAACCATTCCTAAACCTCATCCTTCACTTATATACAAAATCCCCCTAAAAGAACCTCCCCCAGTATCTGGATTCACTACTATAACTATAACAAAAATGCCCACCATCAATGTAATCCTAATTATAAACATTCAAACTTTAAAAATAAAAGACGTTTTTCTTTTTATTACTCTCTCTGAAAACAACTCTAATGCTTCTTTCTTTTTTAAAAGAAGTGGAATTAATGCAATTCTATAAGCAAATACGACTAATACCCCTCTAGCCACGCTTATAAACAACATGAATCCGTATAACCCCCTATAATAAGCTAAAAACACACTCACATTCACAACTACAAAAACCAACGCTATTCCGTAATATATGGGATGATTATACTTTAAAATAATAGAAAATGACCTTAAACAACAAACTATAATAAAAAACTCTAAAATTAAAAGAAAGGCTAGACCTAAACCTAATTGTAAATTAGGTAATTATTATTTTTTTTTCTTCTTTTTTATATTAAAAACTCTAAACAGGGGTCTGAAGACATCTTAAAGCTGACAACCTTATATTTTTATTAAACTACCCTGTTTCACTACATGTAAAAAAAAGCATTAGCTCTATATTCTGGGCATGAACCAGATAACTTAATTAGTTTATCTTTACTATAGGCTTATAAAGAGAAAAATTAATCTCATATTTCGGGTATGAACCAAACAACTTTATTAGTTTACCTTTATAACTTTAGTAAAAAGAGGTATAAACCATAACTAAGGTTACAACTTAGCACTTCTACAGACGTCTTTTTATTTTTTATAAATCTTACCGCCAAAAAACTATTACTARAAAACAAAAAGAATAAAATATAACTAAACCTACTATRTTAAAATTAATTTTTAAAACTTTATTTCTTATTCCTATAAACATATTTTTAACACCCCTTTGCCATAAATAAGTACGAATTCAACCTATCTCCACATAGTTAATATATTTAGAAATAGTTGTTAAGACACCAACTCTAATTAAATTTCCCCTGATTAATCTTAAAAACCATATCCTAGAAAAAAAGTCCTTACTAAAACCCAAAAATATAGTTTTTCTTCTTACCGAAAAAAACAACACTAAATTAAATAGGAAGACTACTATTATAATWAGTAACCTATAAAAAAGCCTTCCTTTAATAAAGCTAACCGCTAAAAATTCTTTAATAAGTCTTTGCATAATAATTCTTATTATAACAGCTCCATTTATTATTAGTAATAATGATAGTAAATAATAACTGTTTTCTATTCTATAAAACCTTAATCTTCTTAACCCTATGTCTTGAAAAACCAACCCAATCCTTCGAATAGAATAGCAAGCAGTTAAAGCTAAGCAAACTACCAATAAGATAAAGCTTAAAAACCCACAATTTCTAGATARACAAACCCCAACGATCAACTCTTTAGAATAAAAACCTGAAAAGAAAGGGAATCCTATTAAAGATAAATTACTAAATAAAAACAAAACTCTTGTTAATGGAAGTTTAAACCAAGCTCCCCCAAGAAGACGAGCGTCCTGACATCTACCCCTATAAAAAATTACACCACCTACGCATATAAACATTAGTGCTTTAAAAAAGGCATGAACCAACAAATGAAAAAAAGCAATAGTATTAGCTCCAACCCTAATAACAAATATTATTATTCCTACTTGCCTTAAAGTAGATAGAGCTACCACTTTTTTTATATCCACTTCAGCACAAGCTCTTCTTCCGGCTAAGAATATAGTTACTATAGAAAATACTATTAACAAATATTTTTCCAATTCCCCTAAATACTCCCTAAAACGAATTATAACATATACCCCAGCTGTAACTAAAGTAGATGAATGAACCAATGTAGATACTGGAGTAGGTGCTGCTATAGCTTCAGGTAACCAAGCAGAAAAAGGAACTTGAGCACTTTTAGTTATTCTACCTAATATTATAAGGAAACCTATAGAAAATCCACTTATCAATAATACTCCTCACATTCTATACCTTAATATCCTTCTCATTAACCCAATAACTAACAAAAAACAAACATCTCCAATACGATTTCTTAATGCAGTAATTATTCCTGCAGATAGAGAATTCCTTCTTAAATAGTAAACCACTAAAAGAAAAGAAACTACACCCAAACCATCCCACCCAACTATTAAACCTAAATAATTAGGAAACAGAATTAGTAAGATTATTGAAAGGACAAAAAGTTGAACCAAAAAAAAAAATCGTTTTAAAAAATTTTCATGAGATAAATAAAACCCCCTAAAAATAGAAACACATCCAGAGATAAAAAGAACACTTAARACAAATATACAAGCCACTCAGTCTAAAACCATGCAAAACCCTATTTCCATAAAAAACTTTTCCCTTATTTCTCACTCCAATACTAAAACTCTTCCCTTTAAAACACCTCTAACTAATATTAAGAATAAAAAAAAAAGGAAAAAAAAAAAATATCTCAACGCTACAGCTCCTACGCTAACACTAACTTATAATCACACACGACACTCGCATTACTCTTTGTTTCAGTCCAACGTTCCCTCATTTAATTCATGTACTAAACCCCCTACTAAAATAATTAAAAAAATAAATCCCCATAATTTTCTGATTACTTTTATTTTAATTCTAGTAACCCTTACTCTAAATACATAAGGAAAAAGTAAAATTATTTCTAAGTCAAACACTAAAAAAAGGAGGGCTAGTAAAAAAAAACGTAAGGAAAAAGGTATTCGACTTCTTCTCATAGGGTCAAAGCCACACTCAAAACTAGTTAATTTATCTTTCTCAAAACGTCATTTTTGTCTTACGACTACTCTCAAACTTAAAAATACTCTTCCTATAATAATTACTATTATTACAACTATTATAATTCTGAAGTGAGGGTTTAAAGAGTTAAAATTTTTTTCAAATAATCACACCAGCTTATCTTCATAATAAAAGCTATTCAGGTTTTACTAAAATATCCCCACAATAAAACACAATTAATATACAAAAAATAATGGATTGTAAAATTCCCATACAAAGCTCCACACCACTAAACAATAAACTAAAGACAGAAAAAATAAGACCTGAAACTACAGGCCCCCCAAACCTAAAAATCCTRTAAGTAAAGGGGAATAAAAGCCCTACCGTTATAGAACAAAAAATCTTTAACATTATTCTACCAACAGCTAAATTTAACCTTATCCGAATAGCTAAAGTAAAAGGTCGTAATATTAACCCAACTAATTCTGACACAACTACTAAAAATTTAATTAAAAAATGACTTCCATCATAAACTATTTTCACAAAACCTAAATATCAATTAGGAGTAAATCCTATAGCTACAGTTATAATAAAAAATGGAAAAGAAAGCCTAGTAGTAATTGCAATTTGTGCACCTAGAGAAAACCTATAAGGAAAATAACCCACTACACAAAAAGGTAAAAGAACTAAATATAGACTTACAATTAAATGTCCGACTCCAGAAAATACTTTAGCTTTATTAGGTAGTATCGAAATAATTCTCTCAAAAATTAATATAATTATTACCTCCCCTTCATTTATATTGTAAAAAAACACTAAGAAATTAAAGCTTACAAAAACAATAATAAGACCAGAAATTCAAACTGATACTCGTCTTAAAGCACTACCGGCACCCCACACACAATCAAATATACTAAATAAATCTCTTGTTATTTAAGCTTTCGAGTGATTCGAACACCCTAAAGTTAAGTTCAAAGTAACCATTTTCCAATAAATAAAGCCCTTAGGACTAGTCCATTTTCAGTGTGAAAAACTGATGTGTTTTTTACACTATAAGAAACCAGTTAACATAATTTTCTTTGCCACCACAAAACAACATTTTAATATAAACTAAACTAGACTATACAAAAAATATATCTAAACACAAGGTTCCCCCTAAAAGTAACACCCCCCCAAACACAGAAGAAACTAAATATCGATATCTTAGATTCAGCCCAGGCTTAAAAACTATTCTTCTAACTACCCCATGATTTACTAATCTGTATAAAATTAAACAGTAAGCACCAGTTATCAAACATATTAAACCCCCTATAAGACCTAAAAGCCACTGTAATCTAAGTAAACCACCCACTCTATAAACCTCCCTAAAAAAGTTTAATGACGGTGGAAACCCTATGTTTAAGATACAAAAGAAAAACCAAACACCAGAGATAATAGGAAAAATTCGGCTAATACCCTTACTTAGTATAATTCTTCGCGACTGACAAAATTCATATGAGTTAGCAGCTAAAGAAAATAAAATAGGGGAGCAAATCCCATGAGAGTATAACACACAAACACATGCTATTTTTCCAACCCTATAAAAACTTAATAAAACACTTAATCTTAATGCTATGTGACCAATAGAAGAGTATGCAATCAAAGACTTTAAATCTCTTTGACATGAACAAACCCCACTTCTTAAAACCCCCCCTCATAAAGAAAACACTAAAACAAATAAGACAATTGTACTATTAGTAACCTCTCTAAACCATATAAGCCGAATTAACCCATAGCCACCAAATTTTAACAATACCCCAGCTAATAATATTGAACCACTTAAAGGAGCCTCAACGTGAGCTTTAGGAAGTCAAGCATGAGCACCATAGACTGGTAATTTTACTAAAAAACTAAGAGATATAATTAACCAYGGTCAATTTATATTAAAATCTTTTCARCCYCCCACTATTTTAGATAAAAGTATATTATCTCTTTTAATATTACTCCAAAAATAAATTAAACTTATTAATAAAGGTAAAGAAGAACCAACGGTATAAAGTAGTATAAATACAGCAGCCTGTAACCGTTCAGGCTGATAACCCCACTTTAAAATTAAAAAAAAAGTAGGGACTAACGAGAACTCAAAAAAGAAGAAGAAATCCATTCATCTACATACAGAAAAAAACAACACACTACCTAAACAAATAAATATTACTATTTCTACTACACTCCACCCACTTATTAGAACTACAAAACCATTTTTTACCTCTTTAGTTCTTCTTACTAACCTTATTATTCTTACTAATAAACACAATAAGACTATTAAAACTCTTATCTCATCTACTCCTAACCACTCCCTTTTTAGAATATAGAAATTAAAGGGGCAGTCTATTATAACAACTAACAAAGCCACTGCACAAACTATAATTAACCAACCTACCTCATTTATACCCAATCCCCATAAAATACAAGATACTCTTAATATAAGAACACAACTCATAGTAAGCTAAAAATTATAAGACCGCTTACAGCTTCATCACAACAAACATATTTTAACTACAAAATCTAACCAGATTATAATAAAAAGAAAACTAAAAAAAATAGGAGCAAACTGAGGCAAATTAATTTAATTAATAAACAATTAAAAGTAAAACTCTATACCCGGATCCTTTCGTACAATGGGAATAAAAAATAAAGATAGAAACCAACCTAGCTCACGCCGGTCTGAACTCAGATCATGTAGAAAATTAAAAGACGAACAGTCTTACAACTTCTAGCTGCTACACCAAAAAGTTTTTCTAATCCAACATCGAGGTCGCAAACTCTTCCCTCAATAAGATCTCTTAAAAAGAATTACGCTGTTATCCCTGCGGTAGCTTTTGCTAACTTCTCTCAAAGAGGATCTTTAGTATTTCTTAAGTTTATTACCTTAAACTCAGCTCTCCCCAACTAAACTTCAATTAAAAACTCAGCCAACAATTAAACTATTAACACTTTTCATTTAACCATATCTAGTTTTTTATTTAATTAAGCTCGACAGGGTCTTCTCGTCTTTTAATAAATTTAAACCTTTTCATTTAAAAGGAAACTTAACTMTMTTTTTTAGAGACAATAATCCCACGTCTAACCCTTCATACCATTCTCTAATTAAGAGACAAATTATCGCGCTACCTTAGTACAACTCTCGTTGCAGCCATTTAATATACTCACTGGGCAGGCCAGACTTTTTATTATTTAAATACTCAAAAAGCCATGTTTTTGATAAACAGGCGAAGGATAAATTTGTCGAGTTCCTTTAAAAAATATTTCTTCATTACTTATTTTAAATAGARATAATTAGTATTTCTTAATATAATTATAYTATTAGTCAACTTTTTCTTTTTACTAATTTATTTTATAGCTACTAATTCTATACTTATACCATTTATAATATTAATAAATACTGAAAGGTAYTAAAAAAAAATATTTTATAAAACACTTTATTATTAAGTTTTTAYAAGAGGGGCAATATAAACCCTACTTTATTAACAAAATTTTACTACTTTATATACGCTTTTTAGCTTATCCCAAAAAACCTGAATAATAAAAATAAACTTTRTTTCTATTAAATAAAAATAGTYYATAATTTWAYCTCTAWACTATAATATATTTCCCTTACAACCAGCTATCAACCATTTCGATAACCATTTAACTTCTCCCACCCTTAATTATTAAGTATTAAAACAATTATAGTAAAACCAGTAGCTCTATAATTTTCGGGAATAAAAATCTATTTTCTTCTCTTTATAGATCATGATCCAAAAAGAACTYAGATCAAATAATTCTTTAAAATTTTCATCATCTCCCTTCGAAAATACCATATAAAATTTTTCACAATACAATAATCAAATTATTTTTTCTACTAATAATTAGACAGTTAAAGATTTAAAACTATGCCTTCTAAAACCACTAGTAATTGATACTACGTTATAACTTATTATAAAAATATACTCATATAAAAACCAACTAAGTGGGTAAGCAGCAAAAAATAAAAAATAAAACACCCTAGCTAAACCTCCCAAACTAATAAATGGTTCTTCTACCGGGCACATCCCAATAAATGTAAGCAGAATAAAATTACCAACAAACGCAAAAAACATAACCTGAGCTACCATATTTATTCTTACACCTCGAAAAACAGTTTTTGGGTATAAAGGTAAAAAGAACAAAACAACAACAGAAGCGGCTAAAGCTCTAATACCACCCAATTTATTTGGTACTCTTCGAAGAATTCTATATGCAAACAAAAAATACCACTCAGGCTGAATATGAACAGGTGTTTTTATTGGGTTAGCAGGAATAAAATTAGTTGGATCTAAGAATAAGTCTGGTTTCATTAAACATAGTAAAATTAATAAAGCTTCTATTAAAGCCATTCCAACAAGATCTTTTAAAAAATAGTAGCTATGAAAAGGAACCACATCCCCGTCTCTATCGATTCCTATAGGGTTTCTCGAGCCAGTACTATGAAGAAAAACAATATGAACCACAACTAAAGCCAAAATAATAAAAGGTGAAAGAAAATGAAGAACAAAGAATCGTTTTAAACTAGCATCACCAACGCAATGACCTCCTCAAATTCACTCTATTAATATATTACCAACATAAGGAATAGCACCAAACAGGTTAGTAATAACAGTTGCACCTCAAAAGGATATTTGACCTCAAGGAAGAACATACCCAGTAAAAGCAGTTACTATTAGTATGACAAAAATCAAACACCCAACTAATCAAGTACCAGTCATATGGAATGAATGATAATAAACCCCACGTCCCATATGAAAATAAATTAATAAAAAAAATACAGAAGCACCATTAGCATGAATCCTCCGAAGAAATCACCCACCATTTACATCCCGCATAATATGAACCACCGAATGAAAAGCTTGATCTACTTCTGGAGTATAATGAACAGCTATAAGTAATCCACTAATAATTTGAGATATTAAACACACAATTAGTAAAGAACCAAAATTCCACATTCTCCTTAAATTTAAAGGAACAGGAAGATTGTAAACTGAAGGACCCAATAAAGAAGTAAATCCATTATTTTTTCAATTTACGAAAGTCCCTCCTTCTCTTGTTTTCCAAATTCAAGCTAACAAAGCACTTTGCATCTTCAATTCCCAAAACTGATATTTTAATAAACTATAACTTGAATTACTATATTATTTAAAATAAAAATTTATTTTACTATTTACACTATATAAACTCTTTTGATGTTTTAATTAGTATTTTTAGTATCTAGACCGCCAAGTAAAAAATCTAAAACCTTAAATATAAATTTATCACCCCCCAAATCATCTAAAGAGTTACCCCTTAATAAAAGAACATCATCAATAATTTTTACAGAAAAAGAATTTTGGTTCTTTACACAACTAAATCCTAATTCAGCTGCCTCTGTCACTAACCTAGGGCTTTTTACTCCTATAGTTATTATATTAAAAACATTTGCATCAGGAAACTCGGAGGTAAATAATTTTCCAAACATCAAACCCCCATCTTTATCGATATCAATCGGTCCACCTCAATCCCCCGTCTCTTTATCACGCAAATATATAACTCTTCTATTTAAAAGCTCTTTTAGTTCTTCTGAATTACCAACTATCCATTTCATTATTCTAACTAACCTCTCATATAAAAGAACCACTACACAAATTGGTATTTCCCTGTGACCAGGCCCACACAACTCATAACAAAACCCATAAAAAATTCCTGGTAATGCTGGCTCAACTCTAATAGCCCTAACTCGACCAGGAATAGCATCCACTTTTACACCTAGCTCCGATACACCTCATCTATGTATAACATCCGCAGTAGAAACTAAAATTTCATTTTTAGCCTCACAACATAAGTAACATGGGTCTCTTACCTCCTGATTTCGAAACCCACCATAATTATAAATATTTCTCTTTCCTCTATTTAACTCCTCCTCAGGAACCATGTAAGAGTCATATCGTAAAACTCATTCCCCTTTTAAGAAAAGCTCTCATAACCCTATCTCCCATGGACCAGCAACACTTGAGACACTATTAGAGATTTTAGTTTCCCCACTATAGTTAGAAGCTAACCATTTTTCAAAAATCCTACTAAAAACTATTTCTATTAATGAATCACCGATTAGACGAAAATCCTCTAAAACTACTTCTACAGTCTTTTGTATTGTATAATAACCACTCCCGGCTTCCATAGTCTTATAAGCATGTTTTAAAGCTCTACTAAAATACCTTCCATGTACTTCTACAATATTTATTAATAAAAAATAATAATAAGCCCTTCTAAACCTTCCAGGATAAGAAGATATTAAACGAGACATTATTTCAGATGGGGGGCCAACAGTCATATCCCCATACTTCTCCAAAGCCAAACCTTTTTCTTTACAAAACTCTTTTACGAAAAGAAAATATACTTCATCAGAACTCTTAATATAATCATTTAAATCAAGAATATAGTTATACTCCCAGTACCACTGATGACCAATCACACTAACTTCGTAATTAACATTATCCCCTACCTCTATTTCATAAAGATTAAAAAAAGAGATATATCCAATCCCGCATAAAAATACAAAAGGTGCAACTGTTCAAGCAATCTCCATCTTTTGATTTTCAGTTACAGTACGGTTTAGACTTCCTTTAAAACCTAAGCCATTAAATAAAAATAGTGTTAAAAATCAACCTACACCAAAAAGTACAAGAACTACAATTACCAATACAGTGTCATGATAAGTGTATAAACGACAAGCCATAGCCCTTCTAGGATCTGGAAAGTCAATTTGATACCATTGTCTAATTTTAAGCAACAAAATATGATTGATTCTACACAACAATATACTTAAAAATTTATATAAAAATTATTACCAATTTACAAAACTCTTATCTTAAGCTAATCCTAACTAATTCTATTATTTACCTGTGTCATAACCTTAATCTTAAACTATAGAAATAATACTTTTTTTAACGTACCTGATTTTTTACACTTAGTGATATTTTTACTTTTAAACTAACCGCTCTTCTATTTGTTCATAATATTAAAATAGAAAGACAACTCACATAACTTTACCCTTCCAACCTGTAATTTTACAAAATCAAAGAACCTCAAACATAAAAATATAAGACAAAATTAACTCCAAAACATTTTAATAAAAAAATCAACCAAAAAACAGAAACACCCAGTTGTTTTAACACAATCCTTTTCTCTAATTTTACAACCCCCTAAGGATAAAAACTCTTTCCTTCTATTTTGTCTTGTATTAGAAGACCTCATTTCAGTTTCTGTTACTCTTGCACTTCTCCTCCTATAAGAACTAGATACTTTTCTTCCTCTATTACTATAACGAGAATCCTCATCTCTAGCTTCCCTATTAATAGTAGAATCTACGCTATAACTAAAACCAGAACACCTACCCTCTCTTCATGACCTATCAGACTCTCTTTCCCCTCTAGACCTAGACCAAGGTGTTTTTTCATTTAAACACTCCACAGTGCAATTAAGACATTTTACTAATTTAATATTCTTTATTAATGGACCAATGACTATATCATAGAAATCATGAAACATAAAGTCTAAAACCTTAAATATAAGTCTGTCCCCCCACAAATCATCTAAAAAGTTACCTCTTAATAAAAGAAAATCATTAATAGTTTTTACAAAAGGAAAATTTTGGTTTTTTACACAACTAAATCCTAATTCAACTACCTCTGCTACTAACCTAGGAATTTTTACTCCTATGGTTATTATATTAAAAACATTTACATCARAAAACTCGAAGGTAAATAATTTTACAAACATCAAACTCCCATCTTTATTAATATTAAYCCATCCACCCCAATCCCCCGTTTCTTTATTACATAAGTGTATAACTCTTCTATTTAGAAGATCTTTTAATTCTTCTGAATTACCAACTATCAATTTCATTATTCTAACTAACCTCTCATATAAAATAACCACTACACAAGTTGGGATTTCCCTATGACCAGACCCACACAACTCATGATAAACCCTATAAAAAATTACTGGTAACGCTGGTTCAACTCTAATAACCTTAACTCGACCAAGAATAGCATCCACTTTTACACCTAGCTCCGATACACCTCATCTATGTAAAACATCCGAAGTAGAAACTAAAATTTCATTTTTAACCTCACAATATAAATAACGTGACTCTCCTAGCTCTTGATTTCGAAACCCACCATAATTATAAATATTTCTCTTTCCTATATTTAACYCCTCCTCAGGAACCGTATAAGAGTTATATCGTAAAACTCATTCCCCCTTTAAGAAGAGCTCTCATAACCCTATCTCCCATGGACCAGCAACACTTGAGACACTACTAAAAATYTTAGTTTCCACGCTACAATTAGAAGCTAACCATTTTTCAAAAATCCTTCTAAAAACTATTTCTATTAATGAAYTACTAATTAAACGAAAATCCTCTAAAACTACTTCTACAGTCTTTTGTACTATGTAGTAACCACTCTTGGCATCCATAGTCTTATAAGCATGTATTAAAGCTATATTAGAATACCTTCCATGTACTTCTATAGTATTTATT